GAGTCTAATATTGAAAAATTATATAATTGATAACGGAAAAATATATTTTGAAATTGAATTAGTTTACTAACGTTTACCGAGTTTGTTAATCTGTACTTATTACTTAACTGATATCCTCTGRTCAGTGACTGGCGTTGTATATAGCGCTAGTAAAGTAAGTACTAACCATGTTTTCTAGATGAATTAATTTTGTCAACAATTATTATCATTTTATCAATATCTAAACATGAGTATAATTCTAATATTCTTCTTAATCAGCTTCAAATTTAATTTGAAATTCCAAAAACTATTTTCTTATATTACATCGGAAATTAAAATTACTAATGGAACATTATTATTTTTTTTTTATTTTTTTGGTTACGGGGAGGGGTCAACTTCCCCCCCCCACACCCTAATCGCCACCTATGGTGACGTTAAATAATAGCTTAGTCCCATGAATTACATTCTCGTCAAYGATAAATAAAATATACAACAGGAAGTCTTCAAAATCAAAAAAAAAAAACATTAAGGTATATTTTAATACATGGGTACTTAAAACTGCGTTTTAACAGTTTATAAATTAATATAACTCGATATTTAAGTTCAAATCCACTTAACATTGTTCATTCAAATGATAAAATCAACAATATTGAAGTTCTTGGAAATAAATATTTTAGATTTTAATACCTACTATTGTACTCAAAATGAATCGGGTCTTTATGGTATGGGTATAAACCCATATTMACAGCTGGTAGACGGATGTCTATTGTATTGACTTAATGATGACATGGGTGGACGACAGTGTCAACCACGAACTATATGCGCACCGGAGACGCTATATAGAACCCAGCAGTTCAATATAATATAAGTAAAGACGTTTTATCGAGTCGCCATCGACACACTAATGGGTAGTATAATGTGCCACACATTATAATCGCATATTAACCTTCGATATATCGGTGGTGGGTGGTCGGGCTATCTCAACTAACAATAAATTGGTCTTCTATTGTAGCAATAGATTCTGGTGGGGCGTCGCGTCGTATCGGTTATCAACGGCCAAAGGGCCAGTCGTTCAGTCGCAAACGATTCGCGTACGCAGGCAGTTCTTCCACACATCACGTGTTTCGGTCAACGTAGTGTGTTCCTCTATAGCGTCATAAACGTTAAACAGCTTTGCAAGTTAATATCATGGAGTGGCAGACTAGGGCGAGATTTAACGAGATATGGCAGATTATCGTTGCCAGTAAGAGACCCGGTAACAAGGCGAGTTTAACCTACTGCGAATATCAGGAACGACTCAATCGGGTTCAATGGCTGAAAGAGGAATCGGAAGTAGGCGAAGTGTTCTTAACGGCAAAGGATCAGCGATTACTCATCAAGTATGACGTAATAAACGTGGGTGGTCGCGATTGGTTGGTCCAACCACAAGAAGATGATGTATCCACCAAACACCTTTTGTACGTGACCAACGACGAGCTATTCGACGTGTTGCACGAGGCGCACCTGGAGACCAATCACGGTACCGAGCAGCAGATGATCAACCAAATCCGGCTCAAGTACTGCAACGTGACGAGGGAGGCAGTTATGACGTACCTGGAACTGTGCCCACACTGCTTCAACCCGAGACAGGACCTGCAGATGCTCGAGGAGAGTGCGATACCGCCGATAGTGGCACCTATGCCACCCTTTCCTAATTGCGTCTATGGGAAATCGGTCTACTTCGGAATGATCGACATGCAACGATGTGCCCGCGACGGTTACTCGTACATCTTGGTCCACTGGGACGTCGGCACCAGGTTAATCCACATCCTACCGCTTCAGAGTATGAGTTATGTGCACGTGGCCATCGGTTTGATGGAAATTTACTCGTCGTTTGGCATGCCAGATTTTCTTGATGCACCGTACGATATGCCGTACATTATTTCGGTGGTTAATTATATAAAATCCGTGTGGCATAGTGGAGTTTCCATCAATCTCAGGACTGAAGACGACCCAAATGCATTAAACAGCGGCGCTAATTTGGTATTTTCAATAATGGAACCGTGGTTGGGAGACGAAAGATTTATACGCAACTGGCCATCGGAGATCAAGCACACACAGTTCATGATGAACAACATGACTTATTCGGGTAAGAACTTATCAGCTACAACCTTGTATCTTTGTTGCCAATAGGAACTGAAAATTAGGAACTTTTTTGTTAGAATATATACAGGGTGATTTTTTTATGAAACAACACTCATTATTTAAAAAAGTATTGACTT